CAACGCAGCCAAGCTACAGCGTGCTCCACCTGCTGATGCTGGTAACATGACTCGCGATCACTCTGTCGCCAGGAGCCCCACAATAGACTTAGATGATGCCTGCATCTTCATGGACATGGCTCCAAAGAGACAAAGACAATTTATAGAATCACATGTTTAATAGCAGAAGATGTGGCTGCCTAAAGCGGCCATGATGCCTATATTATGTTTCATTATGTTGATATGTCACATTAACCTTTAATTCTCTTGCAGGTTTAAATGTATATTGGCTGTCCTAGAAGGGTACTATGTGGGGTAAACCCCAAAAAGTAAAGGGTGCCTAGCTGCCAAGAGGGCAGGTGCCCACCTGGGCAGGGAACAGTGCCCATCAGGTTTTGGTCTCTGTTGAGAGACAGCTAACAGTTGGCAGCCTGTGTACTGCTTGCAGGCCTTTATGACCATGCCCATGTCAGGGGTAGTCTGAAAAGAGAAAAAAAGCCTGTTTAGAGTAAAAAGTCTGAAGCATAGTTATACATAAAAAGAAAGTTTAATGCCAACAATTAAAAGGAATTGGCAAGGAAAGTCAGAAAATCTTAGAGTAGATCAGTATGTCTTTCTTCTTATGTAATTCCTCCAAAATTTGGCGATGCTAACATGGCAAAACATTTCTTTGCATAGATTCAATAAGACCGGTTCCTAATAGTGGTTTTGTTAACGAAAAACTTTGGCTGGAGTAGCATGTTTCTCTAAAGACTTGAAGCCAGTAAAAATGCCACAAAGAAAGCCTGGTATCCTGCTTGGAAGCCTTGAAGATGGCTGGCGCTGGAGCGTCAGGCCGATGCCCTACCATCACTGGCGGTTGGTAAGAGTAAAAGGGGAGCAGTAGGGATGCCTCTACGTTCCTGCGGAACCCCCATACGCTCTGGGCCGCAACAAGTAGGAGGGCTACTGAGATGGGCTTAAAGCCTGGAGCGTGGGCTCAGGTGGAATTGCTACAGGTGAAGAATTCACCTAACTCAGCAGATACTGCAGGCGGGCCTGATGGCAGCTGGATGGCTTGGCTTCCTAGCCCTACGGGGCACATTAAGATTCAACCATGAGATTCCAGCAAAGGTGGTCAGTTACCATTCTTGTTGTGTTTATGCAAACATCAGGACAATAGATAAATTAATCTTAATTTGACTCTTAATTTGACTTTTTGATAGCCATGGAGAAATTTTAAGAAGAAAAATCCTATTTCAATAGAAGTTGTTAAAGCTAAAATGGTTTCTTTCCCTTCCACCAGGCCCAGTACGAGCCTCTAGCAACGGTGGAATGAAAGGGTGAGGGCTAGACCCTCCACCTTGCCCCAGGTTTGAATCTTGGTTCACACAGTCGCCATGGTTGACAACCCTGTTGTCAGCAGTTGCAGGACCGCTTATAATCCTACTGTTAATTCTCTCCATAGGACCCTGTATTATAAATAGAATCATAGGATTCATACAACAGAGAATAGGGGATATTAAACTCCTGATTATCAGGCAACAGTACTCAGCCCCGGCCGAACCCGAAGGTCTCTAAGATTAGAAACCGTCCACAGAAAAAGGGGGGAATGAAAGGTGCCAATATAATCAGGTCAGGAGGGTATGGAACAAACGGCACCAGGGTAATCAGGAAAGGTCAGAAGGGGCAGAAAGAACAAACAACTTTTATGCGCAGCCCGGGAGTAAACTGAAAAACTAGCAACTTGATAAGAAACTAGACAGGCATTAATTCACAACGGCGCCAAGATTCCCAGAAGAATGACCCCCTTGCTCCCCCCGTTTGCTTCCCCCGTTTGCTAGAGGGGTATATAACCTGTGCTTAAACTCTTAGTCGGGGCTTGCAGCCGCTGCTCTGTGTTTTAGAGTAAGCTGTCAGCCCTGGCATGCTAGAATAATAAACCCTTTGCTTTTTGCATGAGAAGCGTCTCTTGGTTCTTTGTGACAGCGGCTTGCGTCCTGGGCTTTACAAGAGCACTACTAAATCCTAGCACACACCCCCCCCCCCCCCCCAAGCCCTCTTGGTCAACTGAGAATTTTTCCATTTTTTTGTCCTCACCTGAGGATATGTTTATCTTTTTTAGAAAGAGGAAGGGGGAGGGAGAGAGGGGAAGAAGGAGAGGAGGGATGGGGGAAGAGAGAAGGGATGAATGGAGAATGGAGGGAGGGAGGGAGAGAGACAAAGAGAAAGAGAGAGAATTATCAATGTGGGAAACATTGATCAGTTGCCTCCTGTACACGCTTGGACCGGGGATGGGAACTGCAACCTTTTTGGTGTTCAGGACGATGCTCCAACCGAGCCACCCGGCTGGAGCGCAACTGAGAATTTGTTTGTGGCTTTTTGAAAGCCCAGGGTCAGCCTTAGTTAATCTCAAATTCCTCAGAGAGAAATCTATTGAAAAATGGCTGCTGAGATAACCTGCCCTGACCAGGTCACAGACTTTTTCTTAACTCTGTTTTTCAAGTGGTCAGACCCAAAAGAAGACCCCACACAGCAAAAACACTTTTTGAAGTGAAACAATAAGCCCGCATATAGTATTCACCAGGATTAGCACCTACAATATGATGGCTTAACAGACCATTTTAAACTCCATGAGTTTAAAATGTTCCTATTACCCCTAAGTAGCTAGCAATTGTCTTACATTACCAAGATTAATTCTTTTATCTGAAATCATAATTTTAGATACCATTGTCACTAAATACTAATCGCACTGTTTTTAAAGTGCCTCAATTTCAAAGGACTCGGGTTCTCTACTGTTGGTTTTAACAAAATGCTGGGGACTATTAGCAAAACAAAGGTTGCATAGATTAAAATCATTTTTAAATCTCAATTTGCATAAGTTTGAATGTGAAAGAAATCTGTTTCTAAATTGTACCTGTTTAGTATTTTAATATGTTTCTCCTCTTCAGGCCACATTTTGATGGAGGTGGGAGAGAGAAGGTGGTAGTAGTAATGTGTATCCATAATGTAAATTCTGCAACAAGGTTCTGAAAGGAAGGTTGTTGCACTTTCCTAGGGTACCCAACCGTGTGCTTTGGTCACTCAAAGAAGCACCTCAGGATATTTTAAATTGTCCAGGAAAACACAGCAACATCTGTCAGACACTGTACTTGCTACTACCCTTACCTGGACCTGACCACTTAATGACATGGACAGATGGTATTTCTTTGGACATAGGGTGCCACGAACAAAATACCAAGACTGTAACGAAAGAGTTGGACGGTTTTGTCTTAGGCATTTCTTTCAAAGGTTTTTTTTTTTTTTTTGCTTTGATTTGGTTGGGAAACTGAAGGACAGATTAACTCACAGGATGATTTCAAATATCTAATAACTCTTCCCTATTCTCTCTGAGTGGTATTTGGGAAAGTATATGTCTGTCTAATGACATGTGTATTGTTTTAGAACAGGATAAGGAGTTCACTGGGTCCAGACCGGCGCCTGATCTATGGGGAAAGTGGTACAAAGCCTTGGCAGCAAAGCCACAGGTGTTCCAGAGCTTTGGGAAAATTGCACACACAGACCTACGCATGCGCGTTACATGAAGGCGCCCCTAGGACTAGCCCCTGTTACTAGGAGACCGGACGCTCCTGTGGAAACTCGGCGCTGTGGGGCGTGCGCCTGCGCGGCGGCGGATTGGACCACGAGGAGGCCTTCCCTAGGCGTCTGAGGGCTGGCACGTGAACGGACGCGTCGCCACGTAGTCCCTGCGAGGAGCGACGAGCCAGGTACGCGTGCGCACAGGGACTGAGGGCACGTGAGACCAAAGCAGAGCGACGGCGCCTAGGAAGATGGAGGACGAGCCCCCCTCAGGTACAGAGC